TTTCCCCTCTCTTAACTTCAAGCACGACACCAAGCTGCTCGTGCTGGCTCTGGAAAAGCTAAAGGAGGCCTACAGTGTCAAGGGTCGTCTCAATCAGAGTCAGCGAGAAGAATTGGCCCTGGTGGAACAAGCCTTCGATAACCCGCACGAGACTCTCGCGCGCATCAAGCGACTGATGCTCACGCAGCGTGCGTTCAAGGAAGTTGGTCTGGAATTCTTTGACACGTACGAAAAACTCATTCCTACGTATGACATCGAGCCCATCGAGAAGATCACTGATGCGTATCTTGACCAGTACCTTTCCTACGAGGCGGACAAGCGGCAGCTCTTCCCGGCGTGGATTAAGCCAAGCGATCAAGAGCCTCCGCCTTTGTTAGTGTACAAGTGGTGCAACGGCATCAACAATCTGGAGAACATTTGGGAGACGAGCAATGGGGAGTGCAATGTGCTCATGGAGACGACACTGAGCAGGGTGTACGAGAAGATCGACTTGACGCTCCTCAACCGTCTTTTGCGTCTCATCATGGATTCCAACTTGGCCGACTACATCACGGCAAAGAACAATGTCTCCATCGTCTTCAAGGACATGGCGCACGTCAATGCGTACGGCTTGATCCGCGGACTCCAATTTTCCGGTTTCGTATTCCAATACTGGGGTCTGGTTCTTGACTTACTGATTCTGGGTCTGCAGCGCGCTTCGGAAATGGCCGGTCCTCCTCAGATGCCCAACGGCTTTTTGCAATTCCGTGATACTCAAACCGAGACACGTCATCCCATCAGGATGTATACCCGATATGTCGACCGCATTCATATGCTATTACGCTTCGATGCAGACGAGAGCCGAGATCTTATTCAGCGCTTCCTCAGTGCAAACCCAGATCCGAACAACACCAACTTGATCGGCTACAACAACCGGAAGTGCTGGCCTCGCGACTGCCGTATGCGTCTCATCAAGCACGACGTCAACCTCGGACGCGCCGTATTTTGGGACATCAAGAACCGCTTGCCTCGCGCTCTTACCACCATTGAGTGGGATGACACTTTTGCTAGCGTATACTCCAAAGACAATCCCAATTTGCTGTTCAGCATGCAAGGTTTCGAGGTGCGCATTCTGCCCAAAATTCGCACCAACGATGTGCACGAGGATCGGGAGGGAGTCTGGAGCCTTGTTCACAATGCTACTGGCGAACGTACTAGTCAAGCATTCATTCGCGTGTCGGAAGAAGGCATCAAGCATTTCGAAAACAGAGTTCGCCAGGTGCTCATGGCTGCTGGTGCGACCACGTTCCAAAAGATCGCTAACAAGTGGAACACGCTCATCATTGGTCTGGTGACGTACTACAGAGAAGCGGTCATCTCCACCACAGAGCTTCTGGATCTCATCGTCAAGGCCGAGAACAAGACGCAGACGCGTGTCAAGATGGGTCTAAATTCGAAGATGCCTTCCAGATTCCCACCTGCGGTCTTCTACTCGCCCACTGAAGTGGGGGGTCTCGGCATGCTCTCTTGCAGTCATATTCTCATCCCTGCGTCCGATCTGCGCTGGTCTAAACAAACAGAGACGGGCATCAGCCACTTCCGCGCTGGAGCGCAGACTGGAGGTCTCCAGAATGAAGCTGCGATCATCCCAACGCTGTTCAGATACGTCGTACCTTGGGAAGCCGAATTCACAGACTCGGCCAGAGTGTGGGCTGAGTACGCCCAGAAGCGCAAGGAAGCGGCGGCTCAGAACAGACGACTGACGCTCGAAGATTTGGAGACGTCGTTTGACCGCGGTCTGCCGAGAATCAATACGCTGTTCCAACGCGACCGCACGATTCTGTCGTACGACAAGTTCTGGAGATTGCGCACGCACTTTACTCAGTACCAGCTGCTCAAGTATCAGCCCTTCTGGTGGACCAATCAGCGTCACGATGGAAAACTTTGGTCGCTCAACAATTACCGTGTAGATGTCATCGCCGCGCTTGGAGGTGTCGAGGGTATCCTGGAACACACGCTCTTCGCGGCAACAGCATTCCCTACTTGGGAGGGTCTTTTCTGGGAGAAGGCTAGCGGTTTCGAGGAGTCGATGAAAAGCAAGAAGCTAACGAATGCACAGCGCTCCGGTCTCAACCAAATTCCCAACCGTCGCTTCACTCTCTGGTGGTCGCCGACCCTGAACCGCGCAAACGTTTATGTCGGTTTCCAGGTGCAGCTCGATCTCACTGGTATCTTCATGCACGGCAAGCTGCCGACGTTGAAGATCAGCTATATCCAAATCTTCCGCGCACATTTGTGGCAGAAGATTCACGAGTCGGTTGTCATGGATCTGTGCCAAGTCTTTGACCATGAGCTGGAAGCTCTGCAGATCGAGACGGTGCAAAAGGAAACGATCCATCCCAGAAAGTCCTACAAGATGAACTCGAGCTGTGCGGACGTCCTTTTGTTCGCTAGCTACAAGTGGCCAATGAGCAGGCCTTCGCTGCTCACGGATTCCCGTGATGTGTTGGACGGCAGCAGCAGCAACAAGTGGTGGCTCGACGTTCAGCTTCGCTGGGGTGACTTTGACTCGCACGACGTCGAACGCTATGCTCGAGCTAAGTTTTTGGACTACTCGACGGACAGCACCTCTATCTACCCCTCGCCTACCGGTGCCCTGATTGCCATCGACCTTGCATACACCATGCACAGTGCGTACGGCAACTGGTTCCCCGGCTCAAAGCCGCTGATACAGCAGGCCATGGCGAAGATCATGAAGGCAAATCCGGCGCTGCATGTGCTGCGTGAACGCATTCGCAAAGGTCTTCAGCTGTACAGCTCCGAGCCCACAGAGCCTTACCTCAACTCTGGAAACTATTCGGAGCTGTTTGGAAATGCTGTCATCTGGATGGTGGACGACACCAACGTATATCGTGTGACCATCCACCGAACGTTTGAGGGCAACTTGGTCACCAAACCGATCAACGGCGCCATCTTCATCTTGAACCCGCGCACTGGTCAGGTGTTTTTGAAGATCATCCACACCTCGGTCTGGGCCGGACAAAAGCGTTTGGGTCAGCTGGCCAAATGGAAAACGGCGGAAGAAGTTGCTGCGCTGATTCGATCGCTGCCCATTGAAGAGCAGCCGAAGCAAGTCATCGTCAGCCGTAAAGGTCTTCTCGACCCTCTGGAGGTGCATCTGCTCGACTTTCCCAACATCGTCATTCGTGGTGCGGAGCTCAATGTGCCTTGGAACGCTGTGCTCAAGCTGGAGAAGTTTGGTGATCTGGTGTTGAAGGCGACGCAACCGCAGATGATCTTGATGAATCTGTACGACAATTGGCTCACGTCCATCTCGAGCTACACTGCCTTTTCCCGCGTCCTTTTGCTACTCCGAGCCATCCATGTCAACCAGGAGAAAGCCAAGATCGTGCTTCGTCCAAACGTCAGCGTCACTACAGAGCCTCATCACATTTGGCCAAGCCTGTCGGACGAGGAATGGATCAAGGTCGAAATTCAGCTGCGTGATTTGATCCTTGCAGACTACGGGAAGAGAAATTCGGTGAGTGCAGCTTGAGATTGGGCGAATCAGAATCTTTGATTGACTCTCTATTTTTCAATCTGTAGGTCAACGTCGCATCACTCACTTCGAGTGAGATTCGAGACATCCTTCTTGGACAAGAAATTCAAGCGCCCAGTGTGCAGCGTCAACAAATGCAAGAGCTCGAGCAAGGCGCTCAGGCCTCGGCACAGGTCACAGCAACCCAGACCAAGACCGCCAACGTGCACGGTGACGAGCTTACCGTGACCACGACCACGGCGTATGGCAACACTGCATTCAGCTCCAAATCAGACTGGCGTGTTCGCGCCCTTAGTGCCACCAACTTGCCACTCAGGTGCCAGCACTTGTACGTTTCCAACGACGATGTGCAGGAGGATGCAGGTGCATTGACGTATGTTCTGCCAAAAAACCTCATCAAGACTTTCATCGTCAATTCCGATTTGCGCACTCAAGTTGCCGGATACATGTACGGCAGCTCCCCGTCCGACGCGCCATCCGTCAAAGAGGTCAAAGTCATTGTCTGGTTGCCGCAACGTGGCAGCAACAATGGTGTCGAGCTGCCAAACGAGCTGCCTCAGCATGACTACATGCTGAAGGATCTGGAGTCGCTTGGATGGATCAAGACGCAATCGGCCGATTCGAACTTCATGGCTCCCGAGGATGTCATCACGCATGCTCGGACCATGGCAGCTCACGAAAGCTGGGGCGCTAGCAGCGTGTGCATCTCGTGTGCCTTCACGCCTGGTAGTGTCAGCATTTCAGCTTACAGCCTGAGCGTCGCCGGTTTTGAGTGGGGCCGCAAACTGAGTGCCATGGATGCGTCGGGCAACCCTCAAGGATTTGACCGCTCTTTCGGCGAACGACAACAGCTCTTGCTGTCCGACCGCATCCTCGGAACCACACTCATGCCGGCCGGACCCAACGCGCCTTGGAATTACGGACTCAGCCTCAGTGCCCAGTTCGCACCGTCCATGAAGACCACGTACGAGCTCAACACTATCCCCTCGTTCTGGGATGAGAGACATCGCCCTCAGAACTTCCTGAACTTCACCGATGCTGCTATGGAAGTTGGAGATGAAGAGGGGGTTGATGCTGAAAATGCCTTCGCTTGATTATGGTGGAACTGTGCGTCAGACCGCTTCCAAATCAAAGGACGCGACGCCTACTTGCGCTTTGTACTCTATCACCCTTCCCGCCCCTCCTGATTGACATCACGTTCGAATCGATTGGCAGGGCTCATTTGACGTGACTTGCTAGACCCAATTCATGAATGCGTGGTGACAAGGACCTATACGATTACACG